TCTTCAGCTTGACAGGATCAGAGCAGAGCCAGGGCTTAACGGAGAGTCAAGGTCTAAATCCTGCTCATGCTGCTTGTGCGACAGACCATTTTGTAAAGCTCACTCCCTTACAGCTGGGAGGAAGAACTCCCGAGCACAGCCCTGCAGCACCCAGAGCCTCCCAAGAACAGTGGTTTGACACCCAGGAGGAACACAAGGCGATGGTGAGGCGCAGTGTCGCTGCTCCTCATGGCTCCTATGCTCCTGAGAAAAGGGCACCTGAGCATCCCCAAGGGCAGCATCCCTTCAGAGCTGCAGGAGCCTCTCTGTTTGGTTCAGAACCGCCGGGGAAGGTCAGGAGCTTCCCTGAGCCCATCCAGGGCTGTTAGCAACAGGGCAGCTCGGGAGACGAGCTCAGGCTGCCAGGCAGAGTGCGTGAGCCAGAGAGGCACCAAGTCTCAGCCGGGAGGGGACCAGAGCTGGGAGTGCAGGATCAGGCAGGCCGTAGCTGTGCTGGACAGCGGGTGTATGTACGTGAATGCACGTCCACAACGCGAGCAGGGGCGTGGGGGGCTGTACATGCTTGGTCCCCCAGCCCAGCCTTATCCGTGGTGGGGTCTTCCCCCTTGCAGAAACCAGCTGCGCTGCTACTGAGTTTCGCTGCCGAGATGGGAGCTGCATTGGGAATTCGAGCCGCTGTAACCAGTTCGTCGATTGTGAGGATGCTTCGGATGAAATGAACTGCAGTGAGTGCCCCAGCTGCTGTCCCGTGTTCCCTGCTGCCTCCCCAGCTCTGCCCTGCTGTAGCTCTGGAGATGCTCCTGCCCTCTGCGCCTGCAGGCAGGGGACCGGGTCCCTGCACCTTGTTTCAGTCTTTGAGACTTGGGAATCAGGGAGGGAGAAGGGCCCTGGCTCCCATCCCGTCAGCAGAGGCCAGCCCAGGTTAGCCCACCGGCTGGAAGCAGCCCCAACCCATCACTGCAGCCCCCCGCGCCGAGCTTGACACCTCACCACCCGACAGCCCGTCAGCAGCGCTTAACGTGGTCCCAGCAGCTTGGGGCACACGTGGGGCAGAGTCAGCTCGGTGCTGCTCTGGGGAGGGGAGGGCTGTCAGCAGCAGGGCAAAGGCTTGTGCTGCGCAGTGGGAGCTGGACCGAAGGGCTGTGCCGCCAACGAGCAGCACCCATCACTCGCGGTTCCTGGTGTGGTTCCTTGCAGCCGCCACCGACTGCAGCAGCTATTTCAAGCTGGGGGTGAAGGGTACCACGTTCCAGAAGTGCGAACATACCTCTCTGTGCTATGCTCCGAGCTGGGTGTGCGATGGGGCGAATGATTGCGGAGACTACTCAGATGAACGCAACTGCCCAGGTGAGAGCGGGGAGAGGAAAGCGGGCTCGGGCCTAGGAGAGCAGGGGCATCACACCGACCCTCTGGCTGGGTGCTCCCCTTCGGGTCTGTTTGGGCGGTGGATGCTTTGTTTGCACATCGGGAGCATCGTCCTTTGCCTGCACAGCTCCTGCACGGAGTGTGCTGCAGGGCGCTGATCGATGCGGGATCACAGAGGGCTTTTGGGGAGGAATCCTTCGCAGTTGGGCAGTTCTGGGTTGGGCACATCTGCGCCACCACCCTTACTGACGTTTCCTTCACAAACCAGGCGGGAGGAAACCCAAGTGTCCAGCCAATTACTTCGCCTGCCCAAGCGGGAGGTGCATCCCCATGACTTGGACCTGCGACAAAGAGGATGACTGCGAGAACGGAGAAGACGAGACTCACTGCAGTGAGCGGCAGGGTGGGGAGAGCAAGGGACTCCGGGGTGATAGCACGGGGTGGTGAGCGCAAGCGTGCTGGAGGGGAGGCAGGACCCTCTCCTATCTCTGACATCCCTTTGCCAGGGATCAGACTCCAGATTCTTTGCCCTCTGTGGTCTTATTCCACAAGCTTGGGCTTTTAACTGTGGCCAATGCAAATGTCCTTGTGTGTTTGTTTGCTCAGCACATGCACCAGTGTCCACGGTCATTTTGAGGATGGCCAGTTATGTTTTTAGTTATGTTTTTAGTTCCAACCTCCCTGAACAAACCCCAAACAGTGCTCAGGAACTGGGGAACCTCCCCAGCTCCAGAGCGGAGAATCCCACACCGGTCCTACAGCTGCAGTGCTGTCAGCATGGCGTGTGGGCACTGCCAGGTCTGGGCGAGCAGTAGCCCCAGCACCACCCTGGGCTCCAGCCCTGGAGCCCAAGTGGCCCAGCCTGGCTGTGCTCTGCTGCCGTGTCCTTCCCTCCGCATTGTCCCAGCTCTGACCCCTCCTCTCCTCCCCTCCCAGACAAGTTCTGCTACCCCGTGCAGTTTGAGTGCAACAACCACCGCTGCATCTCCAAGCTGTGGGTGTGTGACGGGGCAGATGACTGTGGGGATGGCTCTGATGAGGACAGCCGCTGCCGTGAGTCTGCTCCAGCCCCTGCTCTGACCTCTCTCCGTCCCTGCGGGCGTTGCTGCTCCATCTCTGTGTCTTCCTGCCTCTGCCCATCCCTTCTCCCACCCTTGCTTTCCTGTGCTGTGGTCCTCACTGCTATCTTGGGGTCCCCTGAGACGTGGGGACACGTAGCCTGAGTGCCGGTTCTCCAGCGGTGGGGGTGACTGGTCTCCTTCCTGCTTCTCCCTTCCCCAGGGCTGACCACCTGCAGCACAGGATCCTTCCAGTGCCCAGGCACCTACGTGTGCGTGCCAGAGCGCTGGCTCTGCGACGGAGACAAGGACTGTGCGGACGGAGCTGATGAGACCCTCGCTGCTGGCTGCTGTGAGTCCCCAGAGGGGTGGGTGTGTGGTGGGGCCAGGGGCTGGAGAGGAGCCGAGTGTAGTGCAGGCAGAGCTGCCGGGGGGGCTAGCCCCACTCCCCAGGGGCCCTCTTGGTAGCAGACAGGATGTCTCGTCCTGGCCACTTCCCCGCCAGGCTTGCAGGAGGAAACTGCGGTGCTGTGGTCACAGCAGACCTGGACATGGGGACATTTGGGTGCCTTTCCCTGGCTGCGAGGAGAGGAGGAGCATCGTCCTGCAGAGCAATAGCCAAAGGCACCGTGTTGCCCGGGTGGTGTTCACGGCCACGGGACGAGGGCGCAGGCGTGGGCTCAGGCTGGGGACTAAGGAGTGGGAGTCCCTGCCCTGGCTGGGCTGTGCCTCAGCTCTTGTCCCCAGTGCCCCAAGACGAAGGGCTCGGGGGACAGGCAGGAGAGCACACGGTCTGGCGGGGGACTGACAGCGATGCCTCGTTGCAGTGTACAACAGCACGTGTGACGAGCGGGAGTTCATGTGCGGAAACCGCCAGTGCATTCCCAAGCACTTCGTCTGTGATCACGATGACGACTGCGGCGACGGCTCGGACGAGTCCCCGGAGTGTGGTGGGTGTCCGCGGGATGGGGGAGGACAGCGAGGGCCGTGTCTCATGTGGCACTGGTCCTGGCAGCCACGCTGGGTCTCCTGGGCTTTGAGACAGGGCCCTGGAGGGTTCTTCATCATCCAGAGGGGGTTTGACATGAGAGCAGGGTGAGGGGGAACCAGGAGAGGGAGCAGGAGGGGTTCGGTGCTGGACAGCTGTCCCCCCCCAGCCCCGCTGCAGGGCGTCC